TATATTTATCGAAAATCCTCTTAGGTCTACCCCAAGATGCTCCCCACATCAGTTACCTAACTTCCAGGTTAGTTAGGTAACAGAGGCATTAGGTGTAAGGAAACGTGGTCAAACGTTTTGGTCAGCCCGGGAATCGAACTCGCATGCAATGGGTTGTGATGCAACTGCGTTACTCACTCGGCCCACTCTCCTGATTTACCACTCCGGTCAAAAGCAATCCTCGTATCCCAACCAGAAACATACGAACCTAAGCAACCCACCTAGCCTATCGAGCCTATGCACAGAATTTTAGATTGTTGCCGCCGGAGGCGGCTAGTTTATTGTGCACCCCATACCCATCCTGTGAGTGGTAGCGCAAAAAGTATTACAGAGGACACAAAAAGTCTTTATCAGACCTCATCTTAGATTATTACATAAACAATTTAATCTATCCTTCACACCTTATAGTTACAATGTCAGCTAGTTACAGAGAAGCCTATGCACAGAAAGCGTTGATCCGTTACTTTTCGTAGTTCGTTATGGCACGTTCGTTACCATAACACATAAAACGCGACCTATTAGTTGAGAGCACGGGTCGATAAATGTGTCTTTCATATAGGAGTTAACGGGTATTGTCGTTCTTGTGTGAACGCTGACGTAATAAATTCAGACACAGTCAGTACAGCTGTAGGGTTCACGGGGTGCATCCGGTCCTACGATCCGGATGCATCCGCTGCCCATAAATCAACAACAAGAAGAACAACAGTGCAGCTAAGGTCAGATTCAGAATAGCTAGTTCTAAAAATTAAAGTAAGTTACCCATAAAATAAAGGTTTTCTGAAAAGCGTATCTATAGAGGACGTATTATTGGGTAACTTAGTTAAAAATATATATTTGTCTATTTCACTGGAATCATCTGCATTTATTTAAAAATTTACTTACCTGAGGGCTCGTGAAAGTTTTTTTTTTGCAGCTAATTTTAAACATTAATACTGTCCTTGCAGTTACAGGTTCGGCGAGTACACGATTCCATGGGTTTATTAACCTATACGCAGATGATGAGTCAAAATAACGTGGCTGAAGATTATGATGAACAGACCACACATCCGAAAATGGAGACACGTCGACAGTTCTCCATTTTCTGATGTGTGGTTTGGTCATCATTAACCTATGAGTTAGCCAGATATTAGCAATATTGGCCAGATATTACCAACCTCACATTCTTCGTCATCTCAAGCCTCCAAGATTAGCTTCGGATATTCTTGATTTCATCAAATTTTTCCGATTTCGGTTTTACATATTGAATCACTCCATTTACAATCATCAGGAATTCTTCGTACCTGTCTGCTCATGGATCTTCAGTTGAAGGTTGGCAAACAAAACTCTAGTGGAGTTAATTATACCACAAAAGGGTTCGGGCTGTCAACCTTTGGTCTACATAAGACCTTACTCACCACAGAAGGATGACTAGCTTTGACTCGACCATTCGGAACTTTCATTCTAAAGAGCTATTAACAAATAAGCCCAAAAAAGCACTAACGATGCACTTATTAGTATGATTAACTTAATTCATGCAGCTCTTGATAAAAAGGAGTTTCCTGTTGGGTTATTTGTGGACCTGCGTAAGGCTTTTGACACTGTCAACCATCAAAACCTTCTTCTTAAATTACATCATTATGGAGTCAGAGGACACTCCCTGCAATACCTCAAATCTTATCTTACTGACAGGCTCCAGTATGTTTCTGTGAATAATACAATTTCTCCCACCCTACCCATCAACATTGGTGTTCCTCAGGGCAGCATACTTGGCCCTCTCCTCTTTCTCATCTACATTAATGACCTTCCAAATGCCTCCCAACACCTCAAACCAATTCTATTTGCTGACGACACAACCTTCATTTACTCCAGTCCTGACCCCCTTGCTCTAAATGCCACAGTAAATACTGAGCTAGAGAAAGTCCATCTTTGGCTAACTGCCAACAAACTCACCCTTAACATTGACAAAACGTTTTATATTCTGTTTGGCAATAAATCCTCTAATCAGATAAATCTCAAAATAAACAATACCCAAATTTGTAACACATTAGATGGCAAATTCCTTGGCGTTCTCATCGACCACAAGCTGAATTTCCAGGATCACATTCTAAATATATCAAAAAAAGTTTCAAAAACTGTTGGCATTCTTTCTAAGATCAGATATTATGTACCACGCCCTGCCCTGGTGACTCTCTATTACTCCCTCATCTATCCATATCTCAACTATGGTATTTGTGCTTGGGGTTCTACTACCCAAAATCATTTACGTCCTCTCATTACCCAACACAAAGCTGCTATTAGGACAATATCCAACTCTGGCCCCAGACATCACTCGGTACCCTTACTCAAATCTCTGAATATGTTAGATATTAAGTCACTGCACATTCTCTCTTGTGTATTATACATATATAAAACGCTGAACTGTAATGCCAATCCTGATCTCAAAAGCTTCATTGAAGGATGTAACAGAACCCATGAGCACCACACCAGAAATAAATACAGTTTTGATATTCCTAGAGTACGACTTAATCAAACCAGAAATGCTCTGCAAATCAAGGGGCCCAGAATGTGGAATGACCTTCCCAACCATGTTAAAGACTGTACCTCTCTCAACCAGTTTAAGATAAAAACTAAACACTACCTAATAAATTCCCTGTAACCTACCTCACTCCTCTATTTGCAACCCATGTCTGTTATTTTTTTTTTTTTTTTTTTTTTTTTAATCAACACTGTTTGTCAACCTATTGTATTTGTGCTGCTTTTTCAGTCATGTTCCCCCCTTTTTTTATCTTTATTTGTATTTGTTCTCAACACTTTTTATTCTTTATGCTCAATTAGTATTAAGTTCTAGATATTAATGTTTTTCTTGCCCGAAACGCATTGCGTAATAGTGGCTTTAGGCATTGTATGTACTAGCTCTATCTATATATCAATCCATTAATGTAACATCACTTGTATGTATGTACCTTACCTGAATAAACATATTTATTTATTTATTTATTTAATACGAAATTTACATTCTCTCATAAGGCCTATAATGAGGCACAAACATATAGGCATATACAAATGAATGAAGAAGTGTAATTTTCCTGGAATATAACTATGGTATATAACAATATACACGAGTCAAATTGGATATTTCTAAAAACTGAACAATTTTGGTTAAAAATTGGTTAAGAAATACGACAACAAATGGGAAGAAAAAAATAAAATTTTAAAGAACACGTAACGTCATATGTAAGACTTAAACCTCGGATAGACTGATAGAAGGATAGAAAAGTTTAGCTATAGCGAGAGCTGCTTTTGTCGTGGCAAATAGATCTTTAGAAGTTTCCCATATATTTATGAAACTTACTGACTTCTCCCTAACAAGTATACAGAACTACTACTGATTTGCAGCTAAGATGACATATCCCTAAGGCTTAACTAAATAGCCTTGTCCACTGCTAGTGACGAAAGGCTTTTTACTTAGCAGCAACTTTTAGTTCCCAGGTCTTCTACTAACTAAGCTATTCCACTACTAGTAACTGGGAGTCTCCTTTAATGTTTGGCATTCGTAGCGTACACACATTTCACGAGGACCGGCATTTTAAAACCCAGTCAGGGATCATAGGGAGCCAACTTGGAGAGGATGCCGCGTGAGAGTATCAACAACAGGTGCTTGGCATTGAATGGCACAGGATGAGGCTTATCACATCTGGTCTTACGTAGTCAAGATATCACGCGTATAAACACCTTACTTGAACCCTTAGTGTGACCCCGTCCTCTCAAATAGGGAATCATATTTTGACATAAATTCCCCCCTAAGGCCAAGAACTGACGAACTCAAATTCGTAGCGGCTCGCAAAGTTGATGTGATGCTCCGTTTTCTATTCGTGGGTCTTCGGTTAGATTGGGTAAAGACAGTTTAGTACATCAGTTTATTGACGTTGTGAGCGCTTGAGAGTAGGGTCGGCACTATCAACCTGCGATAAGTGCTTCACAGAATTGTTTTTTTACGGCTTTCTGATAAGAGCTGTTGATAACTACTACTAGCTAGCTGAACCACATAGAATATATGTACTGTACCATATATGGTACAGTACAGTACGTACCATATATGGTACGTAAGTACTGTACCATATACGGTACGTACGTACGTACTGTACCATATATGTTGCCAGAGGCAAGACATTACAAATGGTAAATGCAACCACTTCAACAATACAAAAACCCCTTTCACCGAGAAACAATATGGGGAACAGAAACCTTAGTCCATCAAGCCACCAGTGTTTTGTACGATACAGTGGGCACCATCCACATGCAGAAAACATCTGCACTTATGTACGCATGCTCATAAGGTTTTATATAGATTCTGGCATGCTGGACTGGTCTACATGATGTCTGACCCTCTTCACAAACTGGCCACTAGTGAGACTTAAAATACATTTCCTGTTAAAATAGAAATGCGACACCATTCTTCGACATGAAAGTTGTCAATGCATCTAGTTCAACACCTGGCATTGTCCCAATAGCAATATATAATCAATATATATCAAATCCTAATACGTACTCAACAACTGCGCATATTTCCGAGGTTGATTAAATATGCACCCAAGATGTAGACAGATCACAAATGTGTCTCCAATCCTCGAGGGGCATCACAGTTCTCCTGCGATTGGAGTAATCACTTACGTCTTATGGCATTGGGAGCTGCGGACTGGGACGAGGGCCACACTCGCGCCCCCACAACCATCACATTAACAAGTGGTGATCGAGTAAGTGCCAGTCTCAAGCCCTCGTGATGCAGTGTCACGGAGGTGGCACAATAAGTATCAGTTTTCAGCCCTGATAACACATAAAGTGCCAGTCTCCGTCCGTGGTGACACATAAAGTGTCAATCTCCAACTCTGGCGACTCAAAGTGCCAGTTTCCGGCCCTGGTGACACACAAAGTGCCAGTCTCCAGTGTCAAGGTCTCTAGCTCTGTTGATCAAGATATATCACGTCCTTCGTGACCTGGGCTGTGGCCCCTCTAGAGCAGGATGTATATAAGCGAGGAGAAGATGCCTTGAGGCAGACACAGGTCCTCCGCCGCGGCGCCAACATCGTCCAGCGTCTGACACCCATCTCCTTGCTGCCTACCTGAGGTGAGACTGAATATACAGTCTTTAATACACGCTTATGTATTAAGACCTTGCAAGCAAAAGGTTGTTAAATATACGGTTGTACTTCTACTTCTTGGCATAACTGAAGCGAGGGCATGTGGTATCCTATGTGTCTGGGTATGTACCCCTTCTGCTTATTCAACCCCATCCCATGATTTACCACTACGTATAAAATCCAACCTCTTTTCCTAACCTGAAATGTGGGAACCCAGGCAACCTTCCTAACCTATTACTCTGCTACATAGAAAACGTAGATACCTGTGCGCTCTTACTTTTCATAGTAGGCTGTATTTGTATCGTTGGGTTACCGTAGCGTGCACAAGGACGGGATGGGCCATTGCCACCTGGCGTTTCGTGTTTTTGTCACCTAGTCATTTGTGTATTTCTCCCCACCAAGTCCTTCATGTATTTGTTACATTGTACTTGCCATCTTGTTCATAATATAGTTGTTATCGTGTCTCCATGTTCTTGTTAGTTTGTTCCTCATGCAGTTATCACCTTGTCTCGTATTTGTAGTCTTGTGCCTAACGTATGTTGGCTTCTTCATCGAGTAATAGCTCATTGTCCCATAAATTTGTTATTGATTTTGTTCCGTTTTTTTTTTGTTAAAATTGTCTACACCGCCGGAAGTGCCACTCAGATTTTAAAATACTTTTTAGTTTCTCGTCAGACATGGCGAGAGAACGAGAGAGAGCGAGAGAGCGAGAGAGCGAGAGAGCGAGAGAGAGAGAGAGAGAGAGAGAGAGAGAGAGAGAGAGAGAGAGAGAGAGAGAGAGAGAGAGAGAGAGAGAGAGAGAGAGAGAGAGAGAGAGAGAGAGAGAGAGAGAGAGAGAGAGAGAGAGAGAGAGAGAGATGGGGTTAAATATCTGTTAGTTATGTACACAGTGCATTCATCCTAATATTTAACAATCTGTCGTTTTCTTCACCAATAATTTGTTTGTGATTAATAATATTATGTATCATGTAGGTAACAATATATATAGTGCGAATCATTATATCATGCTGGGACAATAATGAACATGTATCTTTGTATCCTGCTGGGACACTAGTGAACATGTATCATTGTATCTTGCTGGGACAATAGTGAACATGTATTATTGTATCATGCTGGGACAATAGTGAACATGTATTATTGTATCATGCTGGGACAATAGTAAACATGATTTCACCATCAACTTCCCTCTTAGACGCCGTAAGAATACTTCTCAGTAACAGGAAAAGTGCCAAGAATACTCAGTGTAGTACGCTCTGTGAGGCCTTATCGCATGATAAATAGTGACTTAAGTGGTATAATATTGCATAATAATATTAATTTTTTATTAAGTGGTATTTCATAATCGACAGAAGTGTACAAGGCCCTGAAGATGGCGCCACCACTGTTCATCCTGGTGCTGGCGTTGGTGGTGATGGCAGCGGCGCCTCTCCTGGCCGAAGGTACCGCTACATATGTTAAAAAATTCATAACCTATGCAGGCAATGAGTCACAATAACGTGGCTGAAGAATGTTGACAAGACCACACACTAGAAGGGACGACGACGTTTCGACTTGAGAATGGTCCAGGACGGACCGAAACGTCGTCGTCCCTTCACCTTCTAGTGTGTGGTCTGGTCAAAAAGTCATAACCTAAATATTATTCAATCCATGTTTACGCATCAGAATAATTTTTTTTATATTAAAAGAAGAGTTGAAGTTTTAAATGCATTTTAATATTGATCTTAACATACCAGTAAGGGAATGCGAAGATTAAGCAATTCAGAGTCTTTTAAAGACTTTTAAAACCTTTTAAAGACCCAAGCACACTTGCAGCTTTGACTGGGATCAGTTCGTGTGCTCTGGAAGAAGTGTTTGCAGAGCATTGTGAAAGACTAAGGTGCCTAACTTTTCCATCTCAACGGGAGAAGAATGTGAAGTTAACTATTAGTGACAGGTGACCTGGTTACTTCAGCCTGTTAATTTGCCAGGTCTGTAGGACTCTTGCTACAGCTTCTGGTTCTTCTGCTCGAGGGCTTGCAGGCGTTCAAGGGCGTGCAGACGTTCAAGGGCGTGTAGGGCGTGCAGACGATCAAGGGCGTGCAGGCATTCAAGGGCGGGTAGAGCGCTCAGCGGGCGCTGTTACATATGACAGTCTGTAAGCTCGTGGAGAGAGTTTGCAACCACACTTCCCCTACTTTAATCATTCAAACACTTGTGTTAGTGATTTGGTAATGTAATCACATGTGATTAAATGGACTGCTAGCGGCCGTGGAGTGAGGACGTTTCCGACCCTCCGTGGCTGTTGGAGTTGTTTGCTGTTTTGGTCGCCAGGTGGTGTGGGCGTCCGTGCCCTACCAGTTTTGTTGCCTGCCTGGCTGCGTTGACGTGGCAGTGCTGACATGGGGGGCCATCTTCCTCCTGTTCAGCGTGTGCACTCCGTGGGCCTGGAGTTCACTTGTAAGGCTGGTTATCCGACCATCGAGATGGTGATGTGTGACATGCTTCGTGTCCCGGTGGAAGCTGTTTACGGTGTGGAGGTAGTTACGGCCCATCGGGTTGTTATTAAGTTCGTGGGGGAGGACGAGTACCGGGACTTCCTCCGTCGGTACGGGGGGCGTACGTTGCCATTGCCAGACGATGCCGGCTCTGTGGCGATTTGACCGCAGTGGTGCCCTGACTTATGTCAGTATCCATGGTGCGCCCCTGGAATTCCTTGATGACCTCCTCCGGCGTTACTTCGAGGGTTTGGTACTGTTGTCAGCGTGCGGGTGAACACGCTCTCCTCGGGGCGGTATGCTGGGAGGCGTACAAACATTCGCACGGTGGGGATGCGCCTGCGGTCGGATATACCTTCTTCTGTCCGGCTTATGGGATACTACGTCCGGGTGTATTATGCCCGGCAGCCTCGTACCTGTTTCCGGTGTGGCTTGTTGGGGCATCAGGCTGCCGGGTGCGCTGAGGCCCCTGCTGCTCTTGTCAACTTGTTCCGCGACGAGGATTTCCCGCCGCTCCCTCTGGAGGCAGTCTCCGGTGATGTTGATGAGGTGTGCGCGTCCCGTTTGCTGCTCCAGCTTCCCCGGCGGCGCCTGCCGTTCCTCCGGTTGTTGCCGTCCCTCCTCCGGTTCTTGAGGTACCGTCGGTTGTTCTGCCCGATCCTGTCGCTGTTCCAACTGCTCCCGTGGGCCTTCCTGGAGCCCCCTGTGTGACGTCGCTGTCTTCTCCCTCGTCTTCTGATGCTGCGCCTGGCCCTGTGTCCGTGACTCGGGTCCCGGATGTGCTTGGTGCTGGGGTGGCTGCGGAGCCTCTTGCTGTGTGTGGCCCGGTTCCCCCTGTGGTAGAGGCTGCTGCCGTTCTGGCGTCGGTTCCTTCGGCTCGTGGTACCCGTGTTTCTGGGTCACTTACCGGCTCTGACGATATCCGGCCGGTGCCCAAACGTTCCCGGCGTTCGTCTTCTTCCTGGGCCGACGTTGGTGACTTCAGTGACTGCGGGGCTTCGGATGTTGACAGTGTGGATACGGATGCGTCGATGTCTCCGCGGTTCGTGGTGGCGGAGGTCCATGTGCCTGCCGGTGCTGGTGCCTGTGTCTCGGACGTGCCTTCGGTTCTTTCTCCGCCGGGGGACTCTCCACAGTGGGGGGTGGTGGCTTCCGCTGCCAGGGATGGTGTGGACTCTGGTGCTGGGCGTGGCCTGGTGGTGACGTTACGGAAGGATGCGCGCCGTGCGGGTTCCCTGCTGTCGTCTGGTGGTGTGCCCGGGGCCGCGGGTACCCCTGTGGTGCGGGTGCGCGTTGGGGCCCTGGGGGACGTGTTGCCGGCGTCTGTGATGCCACCGGGTCACTGGTCGAAGATTGCTGAGTTACAGCTGTCTGACGGACCGGAGTGTTTTCATGGTGGGCAAGTTCCCTTTCTGTGGGGGCGAGTAGCAACTTCTCGCCTCCTGAGTACTACCATCTGGGTCCCCAGTTTGCAAGTGTTTGTTGCCCTGGTTCAGGATGTTATGGCGTCCCCGGTGGATGGACGGGACCCTTTGCAATGGGTGTTCTGGGAGGCGTTTAATGTACGGTTCCCGCGGGCCAAGTTCCCGGGCAAGTATGTGCTCTGATTTCCTGTGTATTTGCTCTATGACATGTTGTGTGCCCTTCTGGCTGTTTGTTTGCCCTGTTCTATTATGTGCCTCTGCCTCTCCCTTTGTGCGTTGCTTTGCCATGTGGCATATTAGTTTCTAGTGCTTGGCGTCACTCGTTTCGCGTTTTGGCTTGGCGTTTCGCCTTTCCTGGCTTTGCGATTCACCCTTCACGGGTACGCCGGGGCGCATCCGATCCCACGATCGTCGTCGCCCCTAACTCAACAACAACAACAACAACATGTGATTAAATCACATGTAATGTAATCATGTGATTATCAAATGTGCGAATAAAAAATATAAATATAGTTTGTCCTCGATAAAAGCCAGACGTGTATGAATACACTCTGGCTTCCTGTCCCCCGACACAATGAATTAATTATTATTTTAAATACGCGGAGTTAATAAAAGAGACGCTATTTTTATAATTATTCAAGAAAAACTCAAATTAATAATTGGTTGGTGTAATGCCCACACATATTTATACTCCACAGATTTAGATCATTGTCTGGGGCTATCATCATGCATCCACGGCGGCCAGTTTGTCCCTCACGGCACCGTGTTGGCCAACCTTCCAGACAAGTGTATGAGGATTGTCTGCGACAAAGGCTCTGCTGTGCCCGAGTTTGTCGGCGATGAGAAGGCTTCTGGCTGTAAGTTGATTTGTTAAGTGTAATAAGCGCTCTCTCTCTCTGCGATCCTTCTCCGGATAAGAGTGGTTGTGATCTTAACCAGACTCTGAGTGGATGTAATCTTCCGCAGGTTGTGAGTTCCGAGGGAACATCTACCAGCCGGGCCTAGTATATCCTGCTGGCTGCGCCAAGATGACTTGTGAGGGCGGCAACTGGAAGCCCACGGGAGAGATTGAGACACATTGTGAGTACTGAATGTCCTGTTGTGAGTACTGGATGGTGGGTTGAGTACTCTGTGGTTAGTTTTGTGTTGTAGTACCGTGCCTACTGTTGTACATTTGGTGAAGGGTGAGCATATCATGATTCAAGTTTTCTAGGGTTGTAAGCACTGAGAGGCAGGTGGATAATAGTGTTGAGCCACAATAGGTAGAAAGAGTGTTAGAGCACCTTTAAACATGTGTTGGGGGTTTGTGAATTCTTGGAGGCAAGTGGAGAGTTATTACATGCACCAAGAGGTAGGTGGAGAGTGAACGTATGCACCAAGAGGCAAGTGAAAATGAGTTGGTTAGTTCCGAAATGGATTGTGAGTAACGGGAGTCAGCTCAAAATAGTTCATGTCAAAGATCAGAATAGCAAGTGGAGATTATCTATGAGTGAAGGAACGAAGATAGAGAAGAATTTTGAATAACAAGAAAGCAGGAAGCTTACTTTCTAGCATATGTGTTTCCTTCTTAATGCAGCAATAGGGAGTGAGAACAATATAGTGGCAGGGGAAAGTATTTACTTGAAGTTCAGAGTGAATTTCCCACCGCAGGTCCGCAGTGCGAGGTCTTCGACGACCCCCACTTCTGGAGCTACGACCGTCACAGGTTCGACTACCACGGAGACTGCAAATACGCCATCTCCCAGAAAGGGAACAGCATTGATCCTGAATACGGCATCTTCGCACAGTTCCAGTGAGTTTCTTTGCGAAGCAGTCCTCTCGAGGCATAGTTCAGTATTATATATTTCCTTATACATAGCTACACTAAAACAAAATGCAGTGGGTGAAAAATATATGAACGCATTGAAGTGTTGAGAACGATTTACTCAAAGAGTGACCTTCGCCAGGCGCTGCTACAACATGCCCTCTTGCGTCCAAAAGACCACCTTCAAAGACAACCCGGAGCTTCAGATTGAGATAGGAGAATGGGGACTCGCTTCTCCAGGCATTTTCAAGGTGAGTTTACATTTCCAGAGCACGAAACATCTGATTATGAGGAAAGAAGGGCCAGACTCATGGCCGGATACGCAGTGATATGTATGTTTTTATACTAGTGGTTTTACACGTGTGTAAGCAAACATACAAGCAGGACTGTGGATAGATAAATCAATAACAATTAAAGGTGTTTTGTAGGTACTAGAAAATAAGAATACAGGAACTTACTGAAGGCCAATAGGCCCATGCGAGGCATCTACTATTAGCATCCATCAACACTTATATTTGTCTAACCTACGCTAATAATAATGCAGTGACAACAAGTTCTTTGTCACCTAACAATGTGCTCAATAATTTTACAACCCTATCTCAAGGCCAATATTTATCGAGATCTTTTCTAAACGTATCCAGTTTTTATCCATTTTTCTTACTGTCCTATTTTGTGTTGATATATTTAGCCCCCTTTTAATATCTCCCCTTGTTATACTCTTTCCTTCACTAACATATTTCTGTCATGTACGTCTTCAATCTTCGCTTATCTGTAGAATGTAAAATTATTTTGTTTACTCTTCCTTGAACTAGAGGCTTTTGTTGCCCGGAATTAACTTTGACATCTTTCTCTGTTCGCTTCCTATATAATTACTGTCCATTCTATAGTGCTGTTGGTATAGTATTGATGATAACCTCCCTGTATAGTATTGATGATAACCTCCCTGTATAGTATTGATGATAACCTCCCTGTATAGTATTGATGATAACCTCCCTGTATAGTATTGATGATAACCTCCCTGTATAGTATTGATGATAACCTCCCTGTATAGTATTGATGATAACCTCCCTGTATAGTATTGATGATAACCTCCCTGTATAGTATTGATGATAACCTCCCTGTATAGTATTGATGATAACCTCCCTGTATAGTAATATGATAACCTCCCTAACCATGTACCTCTACCTGTAAAGGTAGTATTTTGTAAGACACAGTTTCAACTACTTTGCTTTAATTTCCGAACATAATATAAAGAGAATTATGTTCTCTTATTATATATAATTATTATGTTCATAAATAGAGAGAATGTACAGATAAACAAATTATCACATGTGCATATGAAATTGTTTTGGTATTTCCAAGAGATCTCTGGACCAATCAAGAGTCTTCTCCACACGGTCATTACTTATCACTTCAAATAAAACAAACATATCAATATTAATTCTTTGAAGAAGGTCAACATCAGCAGAAGTTTAAGGGGGTTTCCAAGCCCAATGCGTCTTACATCAATTTCCATTTTTTCCCCATAGAAACTTGTGAGAACTGATTTTTGCTCATAAATCCTTATTAATTACCAGGATTTTACATTACTGCGGTTATTCTTACATAGTAAAAAGATAAATCTTGCTATTATACATACAAAAATATTAATTGGAAGAACTTTGGAGATGTGTGGCATCATTGCTTACAAACATATTTATAAAAAGTGTTAAGTACAGAGATGGTCTTCGATTTTTTTATGGTTTACTATAATATATTAACGATTTTGTTCGAAAAATCCCGGAGAAATATTCATGTCTAAATCAAAATAATAGCTTTCCATGGTGAGTTGTGATTGTATAGTGTCGTAGGGTGGGTGTGAGTTGACCCTCATGCCCTACTTTAGTATAATTGGCTACTATTACGACCACAAACAACTCACATAAAGTATGAAATGCGGGTTTGATTGTCCGTAGAGTGTTTAACCACATTTTGTTCTGCTGTTGTTGATTTCCTAGATGTATGCCTTCCTAGTCATTTATTGAGGTATTGTGATTACAAATAGATACAATTATTAGGCCTGGATTATTTTAATATAGTTCAGTCTAAATTGTTTCTGAATGTACCTCATTTTTTGTATTTACTGTTTGGCACAATTTTATTTAATTCTCTGAAATTTTTTCCTGTTCTCCCTCCGTGAATAATTTGTGTATATTTGTGAAACAATTTTGTGTTCTGCAGATTCGTGCAAACGGTGAAGAGATTGAGGTGCCAGCGGGTCCCTACGCCCAGAGGGTGACCGCCGGAGGAGTCAAGCACAATGTCCTTGTCTGGCGCCAGGGAGAATGTCTCAGGATTCTGGGCTCTCAAGGTCTTGTGGTAAGTCTGGCGCCAGGGAGAATGTCTCAGGGGGCTCTCAAGGTCTTTTGGTAAGTCTGGCGCCAGGGAGAATGTCTCAGGGTGCTGGGCTCTCAGAATCGTAACGTGAGCCTGAGGCTAGGCAGAGTGCCTAAAGATGTTGGTGAATGGAGGTTTTATGGTAAGTTTAACGAGAGGGAGAGTGCCTCATGGCGCTGATCTCTGAAGGTCTTGCGGTAAATCCACTTAGGCTGCATTATTTTTAGTTAAATCTAAATTAAAATAATACATTTTTATACAATAATCTTGCTTCTTATCGTACATGTATAGTTTCTTTGTTATTATTTTCTACCGCAGTCGTGGCCACAATTACAATGCTAGCCAACATATATATACATTTTCTTCAATCCTCCATGTACAGGGTTAGAGATCTGTTAAACATATAGTTCAGTGATTTATAGAACAATCAACCCCAGAAGGGTGCTTTTAAAATGCTAATCTAACCTACAAACATAAATTCATTAATACACAGATTTACGTCTGGTCTACATAAACAGTGTTCGCGGTGTCGTCTTCTTATGGCTCCTTCTCATTCTCATGTAATGCTAATGGCCTGGTCGCGTCTTCTGGTTTTAATCTTGATTTGAGTGGAATAATATTTCTTTATAATCCTGCAAAGTTGTAATATGAAGGTGCTTGCCAAAGATAGCTTTAGACTGTCAGATTGTTATACCAGTCTCCACAACTCTCGCCATGTCTCCATGACTGGTAGATGCACCCGAACCTCTATCTCGATAAGGGTCACATCTATATTTAACAAATGAGAGTAGATTATTACCTAGGGACCCTTTGGGGGGCCTTTCCTGCTACCCTTTCACCACCTCCTTTCACTACTGCCTTTTCAGCTCCAGCACTGCAAGATTCGCTTCGACGTGTGGGCCAACCCTAATCTTCATTCTGAGCTTCGCGGCTTGTGTGGTATTCCGGACAAGAACACTGGCAACGACTTCACTACTAGGAACAACGTGCCGTACAACCCTACGCTCAACGCCCCTGCTGTGTTCGCCGAGTCCTGGAAGGTGTATTGTAATAAGTGCAGTGTATTGTGAGCAAATCACGGCTTAGTGTAATTTTAGGAGCAGTGAGTGGCGGAAAACTGTCCTGCAAAAGTGCCATTTTACACCATAGAGAGCTCCTGAGGGTCGAACCTCACACTGACACATAATTGGGGGGGGGGGGTGTTCAACATGTGACAGACACTATGGGGGTAGAGCTAAACTAACCGCAATATTATGCCTGCAGACACCGGACCAGACCAACCCCGCCTGCACAGCCGCCGGGAGACGCAGGAGATCCATCAACAAGGTAAGTTAGAATGTTGTCTGCTGAGTGACAACTAAACTGTCGTGGGTTGAATCCTGTTGACCCGTCAGTCCTTGGCGTATGGGGAGAATGGGTTGGGGGGGGGGGGGGAAGACCTCGATAACCCTATTCGGCTTCTTGTCTCCCAACAATGGTGAGCCATTGTAATGATAACTAGGATTTATATCATGTCATAAATCAATAGGATAAATGGATATGCTTTAATCCTTAAATTTATTCTTTATAAACTATATACTGTCGATAATTTATACATTTTGGAATTTCTAATCATATGCGGATATTGCAACTAATTAATTTTGAGCATCAAGCATTTATTTGCACTAAATAAAGATAATAGAAATTAGTTTTCTTCTCTCAGTGTTCCAATAAAGCACTGCAAATGAGAAATTAACCAACACCTTTTATTATATACAAAATTTTATTGGGAACTATGTTAAAAGAATATTTAATTAGAACTACCGGTATAATAAAATATTTAATTTTTTCTAGTTTGAATACCTTTTGTTGAATATTTATTTAATCCCTTATCATTATATATATTCTTCTGTATCCTTAATTAAGCTTAGATTAAACAAAAAATCAGTAATACTATTAAAACTCCACAAACAAATATTACAGGATTGCTGTGGAAGGTCCACTCTCTTTATTATGTTGGAAATTGCTTCTTTAATAAGTTGTCAAAGAATAACAGGATTTTTTCTATTTTATCTACAGGAGTCTCAAGCAGCGTTCAAACAATGCCAGCAGGACAATGTTTCATGGAAGAGAATGTTGGCACTGTGCCAGCAGACTGTTGGTGGGGCAAAATCCAATGGCCAGGGTGCCTCTGGGGAGCTCAGCCAGGTGCTTGTGGGTAAGACTACCACCAGGGAATAGTCAGAGTCCCTCCATGGAGGTCAGCCAGGTGCTTGTGGGTAAGACTACCACCAGGGAATAGTCAGAGTCCCTCCATGGAGGTCAGCCAGGTGCTTGTGGGTAAGACTACCACCAGGGAATAGTCAGAGTCCCTCCATGGAGGTCAGCCAGGTGCTTGTGGGTAAGACTACCACCAGGGAATAGTCAGAGTCCCTCCATGGAGGTCAGCCAGGTGCTTGTGGGTAAGACTACCACCAGGGAATAGTCAGAGTCCCTCCATGGAGGTCAGCCAGGTGCTTGTGGGTAAGACTACCACCAGGGAATAGTCAGAGTCCCTCCATGGAGGTCAGCCAGGTGCTTGTGGGTAAGACTACCACCAGGGAATAGTCAGAGTCCCTCCATGGAGGTCAGCCAGGTGCTTGTGGTAAGACTACCACCAGGAAATAGTCAGAGTCCCTCCATGGAGGTCAGCCAGGTGCTTGTGGGCAAAAAATCCCATCAGGGGGATGACCAGAGTGCCTCCGGGGAGCTCAGCAAGACTTGTGGATAAGACTTCCGTCAGGGAAAACAGAATTAAAAGTAAAACATAGAGTGGGAAGATAGAAACAGAAAGATAAACACAGAAACAGGGAGAAAGGAATAGAAGCTGATGAAGCGATTGAGAGAACTTGATTAAAATACATTCTAAGGAGAAAAAACAAATACGAATTATATGCCATGAAAATGAATATTGGGTACAGAGACAATGTGAGCATTGACCATTAGCCTCAACACCACCTTTCTCCTCTCTCTCTCCCGCCAGATTCGTGCGCCTTTGACCTGTGTATGATCAGCAAAGGCTCGCCAGACCCGGAGAAGGACACTGAGAAGTGGCTGGGTGAGGTGAAGGTGATGACTAAGGAGCGAGTCTTCATTGAGACTATGGTTGTGGGTGAGTTAAGACACGTGATGGAACCTTTACTTAGGGCAAAGTTCATTTGTATAATGAATTATTATTACTTGTTTAAATCATTACTGGAATAGTTAAATGATAATTATATCATGCATGATGAATGATAATAATTATACTACTACTAGCACTGATAATAATAATAATAATGATAATAATTGTATTGCCTTTAGTTCACTGGAATATATATATATATAATCCAAGTGCTTTTTTCGTTAAATATTACTGAGGTAGACACCTGACAACAGAGGTAGACTGATGACGTTTCTTGTGTCAACAGAGTGTGACCGGGAGAAGGGTCAGTGTGAGGACCTGCCTAAGGAGGTCGTAACGACACCCAACCGTCAGTATAGTGCAACTTATCTAAAGTGTTAATGAAATATATTCCTAGTAGCTATATAATTATGTGGTTACTTCTTTATGGATGTTTTATATTGTAGGTTCGTCTTTGCACTTGCTTGAAAAGTCGAGTATGTAATGAATGTGATTTAATTATTCATTCTTACTAGTAAACTTGTACTTAAATATTTAACTGTTTGGATTATGTATAATATTATATAATAACCAGTCAAACTAACAAACAAATTCAGGTTTCCCTTCCATAACTCTAGGTAAACAACAGATGAATTTAGATTTATCTTATCATAATCAGTTAAACTAACAGGCTAACTCAGGTCTTTCTTGCATAACCAGTCACTTTGGAAGATGAACTCAGATGATACTTAGCATAATCATTCAAAATAGTCCTCTTAGTCAGAACCATACGGCACTACGGGCTCACCATAGCCCGTGCTACTTGGAAGTTTTTGTTCCAGGTAGCGAATCTTTAACAACAAACCTCTTAGTAGGAATATTATATTAATTAATCAAATTAATATTTTCTTACAGCCTGTACGAATCCCATCGACTTGATCTTTAACCCGGGATGTTTGGGACTGCAGCCAATTCGGCACTTCTTCCACAATTAAAACCACCACTTCTTCCTGGTGAGGCTCCATGAGTGTCCACGTCTAACTTCGCCATTATTTCACTTTTAAACTGGAAGAATTACCTGTCATGAATTTTTGTTTTCACATTGTCAGCCATATAAGACTTAAAAAAACAAACTTCCTTAGTTTTCAATCTCTTCGTGTTGCTTGTAATGTTATTGTTTTCAATTAAAATTACTAACACTATACAAAGGACTAAATTAAGATAGGTTCTTGGAATTCCCAAGATTTGGAATCACTCATTATATTTGCTGACTTTTCATTTACAGTTAAATGCATTGTTAACGTTGCAAAGAGCTTAAATCATATTACACATTTGTTCATGTCTAATGCAAAGATCATCAAAATGCGTTGCAGAGTAATTTTAAATGAATTTTCATGCCAATTATAAACACTATATTCTAATGAAAATTAAAAATAAGTATAATAATATAATAGGATTAATATCTGAAAGCAGAAAGCCATTTAATATTTCTTTTCAGCTTTATCTTATCCATATTATGTCCCATTCAGAACATAAAGTTAAGTTTCGGTCTATAGAATAGACATAAATTCACTTTAGTACGTGGAGATAAGACTGATAAAATTAATCTTTGGAATTAGATACCTCGCTTACGAAGAGAGATTGAGAAAGCATTAATTGCATTATCTAGAAACGCAAAGAGTATAACAAATCTAGAAATTCATTAACTAGAACTCTTAAAGGTATATTATACATATACCTTTATATACACACACACACGTGTGTGTGTGTGTGTGTGTGTGTGTGTGTGTGTGTGTGTGTGTGTGTGTGTGTGTGTGTGTGTGTGTGTGTGTGTGTGTGTGTGTGTGTGCGCGCGCGCGTGTATGTATGTATGTAGTAAACAAAAGAGGTCCCAGGTCAGAGCTCTGGGGGCGCTCCACTTGCATTAGTTTTCCGCTCGGACTTAAATCCATTTATGCTAATTCTCTGTTTCCTTTGAAGCAGAGACGGATGAGCTATTGACGGACCACATGGCGTCGGGAAGCTCGCAAGTGTGAAGACCGAAGAGATGCTGTAATATTTAGATACAAGCCCCTGTAATATTAGACCAAAGACCCGTAAGGTGCTGTAATATTGGGATACAAGCCAATTCATTGCTGTAATATTAGGATACAAGCCAATAAGGTGCTGTAATAATTGGATACAAGCCAATTCAATGCTGTAATATTAAGATACAGACCCATAAGGTGCTGTAATATTGGGATACAAGCCAATGGAATGCTGTAATATTAAGATACAGACCAATAAGGTGCTGTAATATTGGGATACAAGCCAATGCAATGCTGTAATATTAAGATACAAACACATGGGGTGCTGTAATATTAGGAAGGAGTCCAAAGAGGTATTGTAATATTAGGATACAAGCCCACAAGGTGGTGTAGTATTAGGATGCAAGTCCATAAGATGCTGTAATATTAGGATACAGATCTATAAGGTACTGTACTATTAGTATATAGACATATGAGTTACTGTAGTATTAGTTTGCAGGCCCATGGAGTGTTGAACTCTTAGAATACATGTTAATGGGGTGATGTGTAGTAATGGTACATATCCCTCATTAGTACATATAATCAAGTGCAGCCTCCAGCCTGTGTGCTTCTGAAAAAGTACTGTTTAAGTGGCCTAACCTAACCTAACCTAACATTAACTAACCTAATCTAAAGTGTAAATGCACATGTCAGCATCATATTAGCGGAGAGCGCATTCATGTTGCAATTGTTTTCGTTATATAGTCAGCAATTTAATGTGAAAGTTTAAATATTTTTGTTCAATAAAGTTAGATATTTACTCTTTATATCAGGCTGCAAGATTCTGTCACCTAATAATGTTTATATACAGTTATAAGTGAAGTTTCTCTTTCTGTAAAATGCAATTTGAAAACTTTGGTCTTTTTTTTCATCCTGATTATGTTACCAAGTTAAAGTATAATGTCTTTGTTCACAAGTTATTATGACAAGATAATGCGCCAGAAAGGGTCTGGCTCGCCTTTGGGTTACTGGCGCTGCTGTTCCGGAATATTACTGCTTGATGTAACTTGTTCAGTTGTAATAATACTTTGTAAGCGAATCTATAACGTTTTAACGTTTGCAAGCGTAGGAAGAGTTGTTTTTGTGACAATGAACGAAGATTGTGTTCAACTTATGGGAGGTCCCTTTAATCAACTGGGCTTCCACTCCCCCCTTTACAGAGATAAGGAACTTTACCAGGATAAAGTTCATACCCATTATGACTATATAGCAGTAGGAAGGGTTATGAACACAGACTATGAACTGGGATATGAGAACAGAGTCAGAGAACGATGCCCAACCGTTTCAATCATCGGGGATCGAACGCCAACCTTGCAAAAAGAGAGGCCGTGGCTCTACCCACCATTCCAAGTGCAAGGATCCTGTTTGACATACGTAAAAGGCATGTGGTCTCACTTTGTGGGGCCACAAAGTGAGGACTTAATTCGATGAAATAACTATGCCCAAGATTACCACCAAGTGCCGTCGGGATGTTGGAGATATAGCTTCGGCTACCAACATCTTTTGTACGGTCACGGTTGGTCAAGTGATTAAGGTACCATGTACGCCAGTTGCATAGTGCTCCTGGCTGTCTGGGTTCAAATAACTTCTGAGGTGTGGAGTCTTCAGTTGCATATATGTTTGGGGACCATTCAAGCTTGTTCGCATATATATATATATATATATATATATATATATATATATATATATATATATATATATATATATATATATATATATATATATATATATATATGTCGTACCTAGTAGCCAGAACGCACTTCTCAGCCTACTATGCAAGGCCCGATTTGTCTAATAAGCCAAGTTTTCATGAATTAATTGTTTCTCGACTTCCTAACCTGCCTAACCTAACCTAACCTAACTTTTTCTGCTACCTTACCTAACCTAACCTATAAAGATAGGTTAGGTTAGGTTAGGTAGGGTTGGTTAGGTTCGGTCATATATCTACGTTAATTTTAACTCCAATAACAAAAAATTGACCTCATACATAATGAATGGGTTGCTTTATCATTTCATAAGAAATAAATTAGAGAAAATATAATAATTCAGGAAAACTTGGCTTATTAGGCAAATCAGGCCTTGCATAGTAGGCTGAGAAGTTCGTTCTGGCTACTAGGTACGACATATATATATATATATATATATATATATATATATATATATATATATATATATATATATATATATATATATATATATATATATATATATATATATATATATATATATATATATATAACAAGAAGGAGAGAGCCTGGTGTTGGAGAGTCGTGCATTTTTAAATTATTTTCATCTGCCGACAGAAAAAACTCCGTGTTATTACATTCCTTTGGTTTCATTGTTGCCTTCCCTGAACCCGTGCAACAGTCACCACCCACACTCACCAACGTGCAAGTTCACGTGCAAGGGAACTGGACAAAGTTCCCTTCCTCCACTAAATTTCTAAATTTTACTTGTACTGTAGAAAGAAATCTATTAATTAGAACATAAGTAGAATGATTCAATGCAGATGGCCTACTGCATTGAGCTATATTTCATCAGTTTCCAATCCTAATGTAAATGTTTGGTTGTAAATAAATATTTTCTTGTTTGGTGTTGTATCAGAACGATTTATTTGGTAACTGTGGACTCAACCCGTCCTCGTAATAGAACGCTGTATTTTGACGTATACTCTACCTAAGGCCAAAATTGTCGTCCTAGAAAACAGTAGCGGCCTGTGAGATTGACATACTGTCCAGTTTTCTGTTTTTGGGTCGTCTGATAGGTTAGGATAAGGGGCACTTTAGTACGACAGTTTCTTGACGTTGGGTAACTCTCAGATTTAAAAATACTTTTAGTTTCTCGTCAGACATGGCGAGAGAACGACGAGAGAGCGAGAGAGCGAGAGAGCGAGAGAGCGAGAGAGAGAGAGAGAGAGAGATAGAGAGAGAGAGAGAGAGAGAGAGAGAGAGAGAGAGAGAGAGAGAGAGAGAGAGAGAGAGAGAGAGAGAGAGAGAGAGAGAGAGAGAGAGAGAGAGAGAGAGAGAGAGAGAGATGGGGTTAAATATCTGTTAGTTATGTACACAGTGCATTCATCCTAATATTAACAATCTGTCGTTTCTTCACCAATAATTTGTTTGTGATTAATAATATTATGTATCATGTAGGTAACAATATATATAGTGCGAATCATTAATCTGCTGGGACATAATGAACATGTATCTTTGTATCCTGCTGGGACACTAGTGAACATGTATCATTGTATCTTGCTGGGACAATAGTGAACATGTATTATTGTATCATGCTGGGACAATAGTGAACATGTATTATTGTATCATGCTGGGACAATAGAAACATGATTTCACCATCAACTTCCCTCCTAGACGCCGTAAGAATACTTCTCAGTAACAGGAAAAGTGCAAGAATACTCAGTGTAGTACGCTCTGTGAGGCCTTATCGCATGATAATAGTGACTTAAGTGGTATAATATTGCATAATAATATTAATTTTTTATTAAGTGGTATTCATAATCGACAGAAGTGTACAAGGCCCTGAAGATGGCGCCACCACTGTTCATCCTGGTGCTGGCGTTGGTGGTGATGGCAGCGGCGCTCCTGGCCGAAGGTACCGCTACATATGTTAAAAAATTCATAACCTATGCAGGCAATGAGTCACAATAACGTGGCTGAAGAATGTTGACAAGACCACACACTAGAAGGACGACGACGTTTCGACTTGAGAATGGTCCAGGACGGACCGAAACGTCGTCGTCCCTTCACCTTCTAGTGTGTGGTCTGGTCAAAAAGTCATAACCTAAATATTATTCAATCCATGTTTACGCATCAGAATAATTTTTTTTATATTAAAAGAAGAGTTGAAGTTTTAAATGCATTTTAATATTGATCTTAACATACCAGTAAGGGAATGCGAGATTAAGCAATTCAGAGTCTTTTAAAGACTTTTAAAACCTTTTAAAGACCCAAGCCACTTGCAGCTTTGACTGGGATCAGTTCGTGTGCTCTGGAAGAAGTGTTTGCAGAGCATTGTGAAGACTAAGGTGCCTAACTTTTCCATCTCACGGGAGAAGAATGTGAAGTTAACTATTAGTGACAGGTGACCTGGTTACTTCAGCCTTTTAATTTGCCAGGTCTGTAGGACTCTTGCTACAGCTTCTGGTTCTTCTGCTCGAGGGCTTGCAGGCGTTCAAGGGCGTGCAGACGTTCAAGGGCGTGTAGGGCGTGCAGACGATCAAGGGCGTGCAGCATTCAAGGGCGGGTAGAGCGCTCAGCGGGCGCTGTTACATATGACAGTCTGTAAGCTCGTGGAGAGAGTTTGCGGGAGCTGATGTATATTTACACCTGAATGAATTCGGTGATGTATTCATTCAGGTGTCTGGGATGCTCCCGGACGCAGGTTCGAATCCTCGTCACGGCCTTTGTGGATTTGTTCATTTAATACGGTGATGTGATCCCGAGTGTGTGTTCTTGAATACCGAGGCCACCGAAAGGAATTATCTGTTTCTTAAATGTGTTTGTGGTAGGTCACTGATTATAAATGACAGGAGAGTGCTGTCAGTTGTTAGAAAGCTTACCAGGAGACGTATTTAGAGTGTGACCATTTGTTGATATTTGATGGTTAAGTGTATTTTTTTTAGCAAGTTAAGAGTGAGGGAGCTGGTCGACTTTGGCAGCCAAATCCGATCAGCTTCTCAGACATCTCCGATACACCAAAATGTTGGATGTGTATGAAAACCTCGTCTATTATTTTCTTGTCAGATATGCCAAAAGTTGATTTCATTTATCGTTGGGTTTGGATGAAATGGAAATCTTTGAAGTGTTGAATTCAATTTCGTTGGAGTGTGTACAGTCGATACTGGCGCCGGATCACCTTCCCGCTCAGATAAAGAAACAATTACCAGCAGAGCTGTTAGGCAGCCCAACAGCAGAAGTACACCCTTGAGGGACTCGAAGTAGAAGAGGGTAGAGGGAGTAGAAATAGCCTAAGCTACTCTATCTCTTTGAGATGTATTTTATTATCTCAATAAACGTCCTTAGACTTAAACACAGGAAGAAAACCGAGCCAGTGTTTGAGCCAGCTGACGGCGTGTGGTGTGAGCGGGTGTCAAGAGGAGGCGTGGTGTCGGAGAAGGTGAAGGAGAGTGACGCTCTGCTCCTTGTCTTCGTACTTTCTTGTTCGCTATTGCTATATGATTATTTCTTCATGGTGATATTTGCTTCTGCTTCGTCTTCCTCTTCTGAGCTTGATTTCTTGTTCTTACTGTCAACTGTCACTGTCAACTGTCACTGTCAACTCTCACTATCACTGGTACTAGACTCTTGGAACTTTTGATTATGTTGAACGAGTTGCTGATTTAGCTTGCTGTAGTATCGACTGTGTGCTTTTCTTTGCTCCGGAATTACAATGATTTGAACCTTGTGTCAAACTGTAGTGGATAGATCTACAGATGTATATTTCATTTCTTAATCTATCGAGCCAGTTCATGTAGCCGTTTCCTCCAGATTGATGACACCGATTGATGATGGAGATGATGATGCAATTATTTCTTCTCGGTTTGGGATAACAGGTTCTACCGCTGCAAATAATGCAGTGGCTGGAGGGGCTGTAGTTGATGGTGAAGGATCAGGAGATTCTGTACCCTCACCCAGGTCTCCAAGATGACACATGGTGGAGGAGTGGGGGGAGAGTACAGGAGTTTCAAAACCACTCGGAGTTGTGCCCTGTGTCTCATTTTAAGATATGTCGGGGAGAGAGAGAGAGAGAGAGAGAGAGAGAGAGAGAGAGAGAGAGAGAGAGAGAGAGAGAGAGAGAGAGAGAGAGAGAGAGAGAGAGAGAGAGAGAGGGAGAGAGAGAGAG